CTCGTCCAACCCGGCCTCGCTCACGCTTGGCTAGGGGGCAAGTGTGAAAAATCAGCACGGGGGTGGGGGTAATAGATGCCTATATAAGAAAAATCCACAAAAATCGGGACTGTCCCTCTAAAATTGTGACATCTGGTCACCCTATGCTTGGCCCTTCTAAGCCTCTTCAGCTCCCTTGGGTTGTTCCTCCACAGGCGGGCCCCCTGGCCATCCAAACCCAGCCCTTCTCTCTGGGCCTGCTCCAGCCCAGTGGCTGGTCTACCCTCCCTGGCTGCTTGCCAGCCTCCTCCAGCCAGACTAGGCCCCAGGGCTTCTCCTTCCCCGTGGGCTCCTGCTAGTCCCAGGGAGCGACTGCAGACTCCTTCCCCGCAGCTCCCTTCTACTGCCCACGTCCCTTCTTTATACTCACCCGCCTGCTCCAGCCCCTGGCTCTGCCGGTGCAGCCTGGTGCCATCTCAGGCCCACACAAAGCCGTTCGGGGCCTGGGTGGGGCACACACCCCACCACACTGCGTCACGCGATACAATGAACATAAGGGAACACGCAACACGGCCAACACCACACACAGGATCAATTCAGGCGCCGCAGAATTCGATTTGTTTATATACAATTTCGATGGATAATATCGCTCCGTATTTTTAAGTTTTTTTATTTGTAGCCATTTACACGTTCACAGTTGTGCCAAATTATGTGTGTGACTCATTCCCCCCCCCGCCCCATTTTTATCTATTTTAAATATTCGCGGTAGCAGGAAATTCGGGGGAGGGGAGAGGCAATAATCCTTGCAAGACGAGTGCTATAGCTTATGTTGGAGGCTCCCACGGGACGGAGAACGCAGCCTGCTAGCGTAGGTGGGTTTTCTGGGTTAAAAACGCTGTCGATCTGTGAATCCCGCCGCGTCCAGTGACTGTGAATGAACAGTGCCGCACCTCCCGGTGTTGAGCACCAGTGGGTGGCACGAGGGGTCTCACGCACGCACGGCTGCACTGGTTTTTCTGAGCAAGCCGCGGGCTGGATTGTTAAGTGACCAGGGCCCAGCGGGGAGGGGATGAAATCTGCTGTGTGTAGGGCGACCAGACAGCAAGTGTGAAAAATCAGGACAGGGGGTGGGGGGTAATAGCCTATATAAGAAAAAGCCCCCAAACTCGGGACATCTGGTCACCCTAGCTGTGTGCAGCGAACAGAGCTGGGCTTGGCCTTGCTGGAGGAGGAGATGGGCCGTGTGGGTCCCTGCCCGGGGGGAGCTGCCCGGTGGCACAAGGTTAAACACGCCGGCAGCTGGTAAATGAGCGGCGGGCTGGGCTCAGACAGGGCAGGGGGCGGAGGTTGTGGGGATTTGCTCTAGGAGGGGCACAGGGACAAACACAGCCGAGTTAATTCCTTCCAGCAGGGGTGGGTGAGCGCAATCACACACACACACACACACACACATACACACACACAGAGCAGGGCTCCTTCCGTCCAGCAGGGGGCAGCAACGACACACACACCCACACACACACCCACACACACACAGAGGAAACGAAAGTGAAAGTCTCCAGCCGGCGGGTCGCCCCCAGCGTGGGACAAGGACAGATCTGGCCCCACTCGGGAGGTAACCCCCGGGCCGGGGGGCAGAGACAGACGGGGAAGGGGGGCAGAGACGGACAGACGGGGAAGGAAGCAGAGACGGGGCGAGGGAAGGAGCCGGGGCCGGTGGGGCAGCCGGAGAGAGGGGGAAGGAAACGGGGCTGGGGGGGGGAAGTGAAAGGAGGGGGGGAGACGGGGGAGAGCCGCGGGTGTAGACTCGGGGGGCAGAGGGAGAAGAATGGGGGAAGCAGGGGGTAAAGGGGTCGGAATGGGGAGCAGAGGGAGGGGGAGCCGGGGGTGGAATCAGGGGGGCAGACAGAGGGGGGGCCAGGGGGCAGACTGAGAGATGGGGACAGACTGAATCAGAGCAGGGCGGGGACCCCCCCCATCCATCCTTCCACCACCCCAAATAGGGCTGTGCCCGGGGGGACCCAGGCAGTGCCCCAAGGGGCCGGACAGCGAGCAACCCAGACTGGCCGGAGGGTGCAAACTGGGAACCCTCCCCCCTTTCTGCTTAAACCCACAGGGACGGGGGGCCACGTTCAGGAGACGTGTGGCGAAGATGCGGGTGGGGGCAGGTGAAGAGCGCAGCCCAGCAGTGCCCTGGCCTGGGTTCCTGGCTTTTGCCCACCCCCACCCCGCAGTGGCCAGCCAGGCCCCTGCTCTGGGCTGGAATGGGGCCAGCGGCCCCTAGAGAGGAAAGGCCCCAATGCCCCATTCCCTGCCCCCAAGCCAGCCAGTCCTCGTGCTGGGGCTGGATAGGAGCCGGCGTCCTCAAGAGGGGAAAGCCCCCGTGTCCTGTTTCCCTACATTAACCCCCACTTCTGCATCTCTCTGCCCCCCCAAGCGCTCTCCCAAGCCCCATGGCTGATCAGACGCCCCCGGAGAGCAACTTCACGGAGGAGTATGACATCATCACCGACGAGGACATCGCGGAGATCAGAGACGCCCTGGAAGGGGGACGGCTGGACGAAGCCGCCTCGAAGATCCTGGAGAGCCTGGAGGACTTGGAGAACGCCCAGCTGGACATTGCCGTGACCGGGGAGTCTGGCTCCGGCAAATCCTCCTTCGTCAACGCCATCCGCGGCCTGCAGGATGATGACGAGGGAGCGGCCGCCACGGGGGTGGTGGAGACTACCATGGAGCCGACCCCGTACCCCCACCCCAAGCATCCCAACGTGACGATGTGGGACCTGCCGGGCATCGGCACCTCCGAGTTCCAGTCCCACGCCTACCTAGAGCGGGTGGGCTTCTCCCGCTATGATTTCTTCATCCTCATCGCCTCCGAGCGCTTCCGAGCCAACCACGCCCAGCTGGCCCGGGAGATCCAGAAGATGGGCAAGCGCTTCTACTTCGTGCGCTCCAAGGTGGACGCTGACCTGGATGCGGCCAGAAGGCGGCGGCCGGCAAGCTACAGCGAGCAGGGGGTCCTGACGCAGATCCGGGACGACTGCTGCCGGCGGCTCCTGGCCGAAGGGGTGGCTTCCCCGACTGTCTTCCTCCTCTCCAGCTGGGAGCTGGGCAGCTACGACTTCCTGGCACTGGAGGAGACCTTGGAGAAGGAGCTGCCTGCCCACAAGAGACACGCGTTCCTCCTGGCTTTGCCCAACCTTTCGCTGAGCATCCTGCAGAGGAAGAAGGAAGCCATGCAGAGGCAGATCTGGAAGCTGGCTGCCATCTCCTGCGGAGTGGCCGCTGTCCCCATCCCGGGGCTCTCGGTGGTCTGCGACGTGACCATCCTGGTCAAAACCCTCTCCGAGTACCGCCAGACCTTCGGCTTGGACGACGAGTCGCTCTGCAAGCTGGCCGAGAAGGTGGGCAAACCCGTGGAGGACATCAAGGAGGCCATCAAGTCGCCTCTGGTCAAGGAGATCTCCAGGGACCTGGTGCTGAAGTTGCTGACCAAAGCCGGAGGGGGAGCGCTGATGTTCATAGAGTACCTGGCCAGCACGGTGCCAGTGTTCGGGTCCATGGCGGCCGGGGGGATCTCCTTCGGAACCACCTATTACATGCTCCGCAGCTTCCTCGACGAAGTCGCCAGGGACGCCCACAATGTCCTCATCAAGGCCTTTGAGACAGATGTTTGAAGAGGGACCAGGGAGCCCCGTGGTCGGTGCAAGGGGGGATCTTGACCATGGCACTGAGCTCAGTCCACTGGCCATGGCGGAAATCCCCACGCGGGAGAGATTTCGGAGCCGGATCCTCAGCGAGAGTTAATCGGTGTTGGGCCGATGGACACCGGCTGGGGAGTCAGCGGGTATCAGAGCAGCATGCGACTCGCTGGCCTCCACAGGCTCTCCAGACTTGTCCCCAGGGGCACCTGGTCCGTGCCAGCTGTGCGGTCTCCCCCCGCGGAGTGGGAAAGCAAACCAGGGGGTAACGGGAGGCCACGGGCTGTGGTGCTATTTTGGGGCCCTGCAGGGGGCGCCTTGCGGCTCCCAGTGGAGGATTGTGGGAGCTCAGCGCCCCTGGTCTGGGATCAGCCTTGCTTTGGTGCAATCAGGGTACGGTTCAGCAAAACGTGGGATTGTTTTGCGGGTGGTTGATTAAAAAACAAACTTAAACTTATTTGTGATGGTGGGGTAGAAAATGGGAGTCAGGACTCCGGTTCTATCCCTGGCTCTGGGAGGGGAGTGGGGTCTAGTAGTTAGAGCAGGGAGGGGGGCTGGAAGCCAGGATTCCTGTGTTCCATCCCTGGCTCTGGGAGGGGAGTGGGGTCTAGTGGTTACAGCGGGGGCAGGGGAGAAGCCAGGACTCCAGTGGTTAGAGAAGGGAGGGGGGCTGGAAGCCAGGACTCCTGGGTTCCATCCCTGGCTTTGAGAGGGAACACAGTGCTGACTTCACAATCTTTCCACAAAGGCCTAACCTGAGCCCCCACTCAACCCACTACCAGCGCAGATGGGCCCGTTGGTCTGAGACGTCGCAGGTGCCCGACACCGGGCAGACGGGCCCGTTGGTCTGGTGCTTTGCGGGTGTGATACCAGGTGGATGTTGGTCGGATCTGGGGGTGGGGTGGAGGGGTCCGCACAAGGCGCTCTGCCCCAATGCAGCCATTTCTCCAGGTGTTAAAAAAAATCCACCACAAAGTCAGTGCCCAGCTTGAAGCCCACTTTATTAGCAGGGGTGGTGTGTGTGTTGGGGTGGGGGGGCACAGCATGGAGGGTCCTCACGGATGGAGGGGAGACCCTATGGCCATTGTGGGGGGACCCCAGTATGGGGTCAGAGCGTCACATGCGGCAGGGACAGGTGGAAAGGAAAAGAAGAGGGCGTGAATGGGGGAGGGGAAAGATTCTTCCTTAAGGCTGGTGTGGATGAGACATGGGGGAGGGATGGAAGGAAGGAGAGATGAAGGAGGGGGGGAAGAATAGGAGGAGGAAGGAAGGAGGGAAGGAAGGGGGAGAGGAGGAGAGATGAAGGGGGAAGGAGGGAGGGAAGGGTGGAAGGGGGCGAGGAGAGATGAAGGGGGGGAGGAAGAAAGGAAGCGGGGGAAGAGGAGATGAAGGGCTCAGCTCCATGGGGCACTGGTTCAGGACTATGGCCCTGCCCTATGGTTCATCCCTGCCCCGATCGTGCCCCGTGGCATTGCAGAGGGTGCATTCTCAGCCCCGGGCAGGCTGGGAGTGGCGAGGGCACACTCCCCGCCCCCCAGTACCCCTGTCTGGCTGGGAGAGCTCCGATGGCTCGGGGGCGGGGTGGTCAGGGCGGCTCTGCCCCGGGTGCCCTCTGGGAGTGGGATGGTGGCCCAGGAGGGGCATCCTGCCCGGGCTCTCCCGCTCCCCGCCTGGAGCCAGCGACCAAACAGCACCTCCTGGGCTGCCCAGCAGGCCCCTTGTGCCCCAGGAGGCAGAGGGTGGGGGCCCCGGTGCGGCCCCCCAGCGCCGCGGCTCTGTAGGCGGCAGTCGCTCAGGCCAGCAGGCGGCTGTACTCCGAGAGTGCCGAGGATTTCTTCACCCCGTCCCAGATCCGGGCCGCGTAGTGGAACCTGCCAGGGGATGCACAGCATGTGGGTCAGCGCCGATGGCCGGGGGAGAACCCCCACCCCGCCTCCAGCAGCACAGCGCCCCCTAGGACACCGGGGCCAGCCCTGCCTGCCATGGGAGCGCCCCCACCCCGCCCCCTGCACCACAGCGCCCCCTAGGATATCGGGGCCAGCCCTGCCTGCCACGGGAGAGCCCCCACCCCACAACACCCCCAGCAGCACAGCGCCCCCTAGGACATTGGGGCCAGCCCTGCCTGCAACGGGAGAGCCCCCACCCCACACCCTGCAGCACAGCGCCCCCTAGAGCCGCCCTGGGGCATCGGGGCTGGCACTGACTGCCAGGGAGAGCCCCCACCCCACTCCCTGCAGTACATCCCCAAACTTTCTTACCCATAATCCTTTGCCCCATAATCTCCTACCCAACCTGCCTACCCATAATCCCCTGCTCCCTCAACTGTATCCGGCCCCTCACCAGTTCTTCTCCGTCAGGATGGTGTGGGAGAGCTGGGGCCGCGCCATAGACATGATCTGGCTGCGTAGCTTGGCCATGAGCGACTGGAAGCTGGGGTGCCCCTTGTACCCGGGCAGCAGGGAGAAGAGGGGGCCACCCCCAGGAGCTGCAAGCACAAGGGGGGAGAGAATGAAAATAGGGCTGCCCCGAGGACGGCAGGGGGCAGAGGAGGGCACTGTCCTAGGGACCGCACGGGGACATAGGACAGCGCCGCCCTAGAGGCCACGCCCCAGGACTGCAGATGCCTGTTCCCCAGCCCAGGGGGAGGAATACACACAGCGCCACCTAGGGCAGCACAGAGGGACAGCAGAGTAGGACGACTCCGGGGGGGGGGATCCCAGCTCCCTACCTGCTCTGGGGAAAGTGTCGTCGGCGTCACTGTCCGCGAATGGCAGAAGGAAGAGATTCACCTCCGTGTCCAGGTAGTCGTAGGGCAGGCCAGGGAAGATGTTACACTCCAGCATGGAGAGCGTGCCTGAGAGACAGAGACAGAGTGTGGCACTAGGGGGCGCTGTGCTGCGGGGGGCAAGGTGGGGGGTTCTCCCCTGGCAGTCAGGGCTGGCCCCAAAGCCCAGCACAGTACTACGGGGTGCTGTTACTTTTGAGGTGAGAATCACACCCAAGCCTCCAGCCATTCCAAATCCCCCAGCAGGAGCTGGGCCATTAGCTCTGCGTCCTGGAACCCAGGTGTCCGGGGCCCCGTTCACCCCACCCCCGCGCGGGGGGAGCTAGCGGGGAAGGCTTACCCTTGTATTTCAGGTGCGAGTGCATCATGATTTTATCGATAACCATGTGCATCTGCTTCAGGTTCCGGGGACAGAAATTCTCCCGCTTGGCCTTGTTCTGCAGGAAAACTGGAGCGAGGGGCAGAGACGCCGGGGGGGGTGGGGGGAGAGAGAGAGGATATTCAGCCTGGACATCACTGCACAGACCAACACCTGCTAGAATAACCTGGCCCCAATTCACCAATGGAGCGCTAGGGGGCGCTGTGCTATGTGAGCAGGGTGGGGGCTCTCCCTGGCAGTGAGGGCTGGCCCCGATGCCCCAGGCTGGCACTAGGGGGCGCTGTGCTGCAGGGAGCA